GTCACAGCTAAGTGTAAAGAGACTCTGCAGGTCAATGTAATGCAGAAACATTACATGGGAGTGGCAGGAGTGAATTGCACTGTACAAGGTGTGAAGCCAAACTTTGCAAATTGGCTGGTACAGCAAACATTATGGGGAACTGTGCCAAAATGCAGGAGTACATAAACAAGTTTGCAGAATGGATGGATATATATTCAACATGGTGAAAATTGAGATGGCTTATCTCAGTAAGAGGAATAAAAAAATCCACTTATTCCTTGGAACATTTGGAGTTAAATGAGGTAGGGGAGCAACAAGTTCTGCAGGGAGTCTATATAATCAGTTTTAAGTTAAATGGAAAAGAACTTAAGGGAATGCAAGTCATTTTTGTTTGAATGCAGTGGGCGATTATGATATGGAATTTTTAAATTATGTTTTTATTTATTCAATAATGGGGTGTGGATGCTGCTGGCAATGCCCATCCTTAATTGCCCTTATAAAAATGGTGGTAAGTCATTTTCCTCAGCCTCTGTGGTCTGTTTAGTGAAGGTACTTTTACAATTCAGTGAAATAGAGAGATCCAGCAGTTTGATCAACAATGATGAAGGAATAACGACATATGTTCAAATCAGGACGGCCTGTTACTGAGCGGGAAATTTGGATTTGGGGGTGTTTCAATGCACCTGTTATCCTTGAGTTTTAGGTGGTAAACCTCCTGTTGGGAAGTAGCTGCCAGAGCTGCTGGGCTGCATCTTGGAGATGACATACACATCGCTGTACTGTGCTTTGGTGGTGAAGGAAGAGAATGTTTCAGGTGGTCACAACTAGTCAAACACAGTGCTTGACCTGCACGGTCTAAAAGTATGCTGAAGGTTAATTCAAAAACTTTCGAAAGGGATTGAAAAAAATATTGAAAGAGGAAAAGAAAGAGAGAAGTAAATATAACTGGCTAGTACTTCCAGGGAACTGGTATTGGTAAGATATGCTGTATGATGTTTTTTCTATGAAAATGTCAAAAAGCGTGCAATCAAAATGGCTCATTCATTTTTAGAGTAACAGAATACAAAAACAGAAAGTAATGTTAAGTTTATATAGAATCTTGTTTCGACCACATTGTTTAGTTTTGGTCTCTCTCCAAAAAGAGGATATTGAAGCATTGGAGAAATTGCAGAAAATAACTTCACAAGGATGGTACCAGAACTGAGAGTATGTAGCTCTCAAGAAAGCCCTTCCTGCGCACCAGTCCCAACAAAATTAAAATAAATAACATAATTCATGACAGAAGCCTGAAACTCAAAGTCTTTGGAGGATTACATGAGCAGTCCATTCAGTTAATTACTCAGGTGCTATCTTTGAGTATAGACACTTGGTTATGTGTGGCTTGACAAGTAAAACAAACTAGAAATCAATACAAAGAAAGGGTGACTAATTTCAACAACATGATGCTCATCATCTCTAAATAACCCAAGAAGAAAATCACATTCAGATAGAAACTAAACAATCATAAATAAAATACCCATGTGGAATAACCTCTGATGCAAACAGAAAATAGAGGAAAATGAAGTACAAATTGGAATTTAATAAAGAGGTTCAGGCACTTTATATGCTGTATACCCAATACCCTGGAATGCGTTACAGAATTAATCTGATTGAAGGACTTTTCTTATATATATATAAATAGAAGAGATACCCAATATGAGTTAGAGTATAACATTTGATCAAGGTGTTTGAAGGTACATAAATAAGTGTATTTATGGGTTGGAATAAATTAAGGAGTTTGGATAATGGTGTGGGCTGTTGTTTTCTCATTACCCAAAGCAGCATTTAAAGCTGATTTTGAATTACATTGGCAGGAATGCTATTTTACATAAAATAGATTTCATTTTTTGACAAGGATTAGATTTCAGTTTGTGTTGATGGTTGGGGCTAGTATCAAGAATGGCAACTAGTCAGCTCTTCAGGTAATGATTGAATGACAACAAAAGGTTTTTTAACGTCCCACAACATTACCAAAATGGAGCTATACCTAGAAAGATTTCACCAAAGTGTATCAAAATTACTATGCTCATACATTGACCTAACTGGAACCTTCCAATTCACTAGCCTCAGAAAATTTCTCCAAATTTCTCTTCCCTATTACTGTATATATTATGAACATGTCCATTTCATTCATTCTTGTGTTTCAATATACAGAAGCAAACTTTCACTTAATCACCAAATTCAAATTCACTTGATTGTCTCTCATTCCCTTGAATCTTGATGTTGACCCGAAGTATGAACTTCAGCACGTCATCAAGAGGTCTAAAACGCTGTAAAATATTTAGACTTCTCTTCCCTGTTTCCCATAGGTATGTACTGATATTGTCATGAATTAAAGTTGATAATTTAGATGTACCTTTCTATGGTGTGAGGATTGTGGGGTAAAGCAAACAGAAGGAGGACCCAGAAATGCAGCTGGAAATTCTAAATACATTTAGAATAAAGTCACTTTCTTAATGGGTAATAGGTAAATGTACAACAATGTGAAAAACATTGAGATTAAATTCCCAGTCTGTGTTACGAAAGCTGATCTCACACTAGAAAAAGAGAAAAAATATTAGCTGCAATTCCCAGTCTGGATCACTACCCAGTGATTCTTCATCAAAATTTCTGTTGCAACACTTAGCAAATTCAAATTGTTGATTAACATTTACTTGGGCCAAAGTTGTTGGTACCGTAACCAGAGATAACGCATGGGGAGAAAAAGAAATGAGAAAACCAAAGGAAAAGGAAGATGGGCCCAAGAGTAGTGGGTTTAATTCTTTTAGAAATTTTGTTCTTTTCTTGCATCCTTTCACAGCATTGTTGGATGTCCTATATGCACTGTCACCATGATTGTTGCCATATGATGGCAAGATTTATTTTAAACGTGCAGTTGATTCTGTACTGAGTCTTGCCCTTCAGGAGCAGATCATGAGGCCTTATGATTCCTGACTAATTTAAAAAGACACCACAATGATGTTGGTCAGTGGGAGGAAGCATCACAAGAATGCTCCATCCCATGGTCTGTCTTAACAAATTAACTTTAGTGCACTGATTGTTGACAGCATTTGGGCTGTAGTAATCCTGCTTTAACAATACCGAGCACAAAGAAACACAAGAGCACCTAAGGGCTTCTGCTCTCTGTCCTCTTTAGTTACTGCTACAGATGACCATATCTTAACGCTTGTTTGTGTGGCAAACCTAGAAGAATATCCAACGCCCATATTTAAGATACCAAGAAAGTTGGAACCATCAAATAAGATGACAAAATAAAGTTATAATGACATTAAACTTGGGTTTTAAGAGCCTGACTATTAGAGAAGGAAGAAAAAAAACCAGAAAAGCTTGAATCTTTATTCCTTCAAGTCTTGGAGTGGATGAGTCAGAGTAGAAGGTGGTGCAGTTACTTTTCATTTTAGCAGAGTGACCATATCAGAGCGAAGAAAAGTACATTGGAGGAACAATACAGTTGCATTTGTAGGAGAAGCTGTAATAGTTAAAGGAGTAACCAGGAATCCAGAAGCCTCCCTCAAGCCCAACTTAAAATGAAAATTAACAGCATCTGCAATTGGAGTTGATGTATCATACAGTTGCTTTCAGGGTCAACTCTAGTAAAAACAAATTATATCACAAAATCATCTGCTCTTGCAGTGAATTCCTAATTCAACAACGCTAATGTGATGTCCACCCAGGATGGAGAATGGAAAAACAGTGGTAGTTGAATGAATGATTGTTAAGTTGCATGGATTTATCCCTTACTTACACAGCCTGGAAGTGGAGATCTAACCAGGATCTCTGGGGTTATTTTACTGTGATCGGTCAAATTTATGAAATTGGTCACATACTAGTACCAGTAGGTAACACTAGGCTAGCACTAAAATAATTAAGTGTTAACACCTAAATTAGTGGATTTAAGTGTGTGAATTTGTAAAGACAGTTATCAGTTACCTTGCTATAAATTTGGCAGTAGCAAATCTTCAAAAGAAAGGAAAATTGGACAGAATATATCACAATGTGATTGATCTCCTACGTCTTTTACATCCTGCCTAAGTTGAAAATTCTACCCATGTATCTTTGAGTCTTGACTAAGTGTTGAGAGTAGTTGAGGACAGAGGGCAAATTTCAGAGTATGCACTAAAGATGGAGAAACCACACTCACCCACCAGCATGTATTACAAACATCTGTGTGTGTGTGTGTTTAGTTCCACGTGCATCCAGTGTAGGTTGCAATGGTGCATATTTTGCCCCATCTATGCTTCACATATGAACATACAAATTAGGGGCAAGAGTGGGCCATGGCTTTGAGAGCCTGCTCTACTATTCAATACAATCATGGATGATCATTCCACTCCTGAATTTTTTCCTGCTTTCCCCTCATATCCTTTGATCGTTTTAGCCCTAAGAACTGTATCTATGCCCTTCTTGAAAACATTCAATACAGGCTTACCACTCTCTGGATGAAGAAATTTCTCCTCATCTCAACTGAAATTGGCCTACTTCATATCATCAGACTGTGACTGGACTCTGGACTCCCAAACCATTAGGAACATTCTTCCTGTGTTTAACCTGTTGAGCGCTATTAGAATTTCAGCTCTTGCTCACCAAGGAACTATTATCTCTGCCTTAAAATATTCAAAGACTCTGCTTTCACTGCCTTTTGAGGAAGAGAATTCCAAAGATTCGTGACCCTCTGAGAAAAAGAAATGCTTCATTTCTGGTTTTTAATCAGCCACCTTTAATTTTCAAACAATGGCTGGTAGTTCCCACAGGAAGGAAACACCTTTTCCACATCCACCATGTCAAGAACTCTCAGGATCTTAATATTTCAAACAAGTCATCTCTTAATCTTCTAAGTTCCTGCAGATACAACCCTAGCCTGCCGAACCTTACCTCATAAGACAATCTACCTATTCCAGGTATTAATCCAGTAAACCTTCTCTGAACTCTTTCCAACACATTCACATCTTTCTTTAAATAAGGAGAGCAATACTGAACCCTGTATTCCTGATGTGGTCTCACAAATGCCCTGTATGACTGAAGTATAATTTTTTTTTGTATCCAATTTCCCTCACATTAAACAATAACATTCTGTTAACTCTCCTCATTATTTGTTGAGCTTGCAAATAAACCTTTTGAAAATTCCTCTGCATCTCAGACCTCTGCAGACTCACCATTTATGTTATATACTTTTTTTATTCTTCCAATCAAAATGGACAATTTCACATTTTCCTACACTATATTTCACTTACTAGATCTTTTTCGACTAAATTAATCTATATCCCTCCATAGCCTCCTTACTTCCTCTTCATAACTTGTTACTTTTATCTATTTGCATGTCATAATGTGTAACTGCATATTTATCTATGGCACATACTTTTTTGTGCATCTACAGTGTACATCTGCACGTACTTATGCAGGTCATATCTGTGCGCACCCAGATACACATTTCTTTAGCTAGTATCTTTGTCTGGTTGTTTATGGCCATGTCATTTGTATATTTATATGCATGCAGCAGGCCCTTCATATGTACTATGATACACTGGCTCTGTTTGCAAGGAAGGCATGTTTCATTACTTTTTTAATGATCCACTAAAATTTTGTCACCCAGCCAATCAAACACATCACCAGTCTTGAAACAAATGAACCTATCAGCATATAATCGCAGCAGAACGGGAAGCAGAGCAATGTGGAAATTGTTTCAAACCTGTTAGTAATCAAGATTTCAAAATACGCTTTTATCTGAAATTGATTCAGAGAACAGATATTATCCATTCCAGAGCCTGCATTCTGGCTACATTTCAAAACCCAACTCAGACATTAGCTCCATAAATTAAATATGACTGAAGTGTGCATATAACTGTTTTTAGGAATAATTCTTATTTTTCTTGCACATTCTAAAGACTTTTGAAAATGATTCATTTTTCTCAGGCTTCCACAGCTGAGAGATTCGCAGACTAATTTTAGCCCACTACAATAATGGAGATAACAAAAGCAACATACTGTCAATGTTGGAAAGTTGAAACAAAAATAGAAAATGCTGAAAGTACACAACAGGTTAGGAAGCATCCATGAAGAGAAGCAGACGTGACCTTTCTGACTGATATCCTTTCACCAGTTGCCATGAAAGATCACAAGTCCAACGCCATTTCTGTCTCAACCAATGCTGCCAGACCTGCTGAGTATTTTTATCATTTTCCGTTATATTACACAAAAAGTGTTGAATTTGTCACTTCAGTGCGATTTTTTTTAGAGGAGATATTTATTTGGAATGCTTTATCAAGTATACTAACTGAAATGGTCTTCCAGTCAGCAATGCTCGTTGATATCTTCACTATATTGAGATAAATTCTGTGGCCATTTTCTTCAGTCTCATTCACAGCATGTGTTAACATGCTATGTATCTCCAGGAAAAGGGAAGGATGGCAAAGGAGGACTTTTGGCCTTTGGTTGATGCTTTGGAATCCATAAAGTTCTTTCTTCCACTCTCGTCATGTTTAATGCCTTTCAGATTTTAATATCTTGACTGGAAGTCCTATTACTGTTGTACTGACAATTTTGTCCATTTCATTGATTCTGTTTGTTCAATTTTCCTAATGCTTGAATATTATTTTGTTATTATATGTTCGTGCTGTTGGATACTGCCAAATTTCTCAAACAAATAAGCATGTTAAAAGATTAAAACTGCACATTCTAGAGATTGAAATGAAAGGAGCAAATGTTAAAAATTCAATACTGGTAATGTCAGCATCTGAAAGGGATAAAATGGGATGTTTTAGATGGGTGATATTGGTCAACATTCTCCCTGATTATATATGCCACACTAGACATTTGCTAGTAATGGATTGAGGTGAGAGCATCACTGGATAGAATACAGGAGACATGCAACTAGGAGGTCAGCATGAATTCAAACCATCAATATAGGTGCAATCAACTCAACCTCACCAGCAACATGTATCTCAGCTCCACGTTCCTGCAATAGGTACTGTGAAAAGCAGACTAAAAGACCGAGAGCTGGAGGGAATCAATTAACCTGAAATCACTACACAGGAAAGGACTTGTGTTTTCATCAATGCATTGAAAAGTCTTCTGGATACAATGTTCTTTTATTACTGTGAAACTTAGGTATAAGGGCCCTGATTGAAAAGAATGAGAACAGTGCTGTGATAAATAAAAGGAGTAGTATTTAGGTTAACACCAAGTTACATTTTTAAAAGAATATGTCAATTTTAAAAGTAAGGGTAAACAGATAGGAAGTAGGTTCTACTACTTAGTTTCCAAACAATTAATGGAAATATAAAATGTTGCAAAATGGGTCTTGAATCTATCAGAGTTAGATGCAGGGAGCAGCAAGTGCATGGAGAAGGGACATTTGAAACTTAGCAGGAATGAAAGAAAAACATATAGAAGATATAATATTGCTAAACCAAGAGAGAGAGAGAGAGAGAGACCACAACGGTTGCAACAGAGAGAGTGTTTGATGGACAAGTTGATATTTTATTTTTTTTTGCTGTATGACATTAAGCTCCCTCAATTGATGGGGGATTAGAAAGAAGAATAAATCAATTTCAAAGTGTGAAATCGAACAGCCCATTGAGTTATTCAACAGTGGTGCACCAAAAGGTTCAGTGAATAAGCTGAGAATTATTAGCAACCTTCACTGGTGTTGCAGGAAATCACCAGAGCTGATCAAGGCCTTGCTGGTAGGTGTACACCATCAAAACTCAAATCTATTTGACTAAAACTAAGGAAAGAACTCCCATTCAGGATGAATCTTGCATAAAACCAGGACTGATAACATTTCCCCCACCCCATGAGTTGAAGGCATTTTATATTGTTTTAAATATTTTAAACCCCCATCTATCTACAAGCTCTGAAGGCAATGAAGAACACATGTTCAAACTAGTCTGTAAGGTCAATGCCTGCCCATTATAACCTCTGTCAGCAGTTTTAGGATCAGAACTTCACTCCTTTCAGGATAGTCTGTAAGCATATCTGGATCTCATCCCCATGTATAGCCTTATGGCCCTGCTACTACATTGGGAGAAATGAAAAACTTTCTTCCCCCTCAAATTTGCCCCCATTTCTCTGATTTAGACTATTTGAAACAGGAAGCCAAATCTTATATTTGCTTTTCTTTTGTATTATCTTGGACTGAAAGACCAAGCTGGGCTAGCTGGCCATTATTAACATTTACTGCACTGCCATAAGACAATCATTTCTTGCATACCTCACCAGGCAAGCCCAGACCAATCAATATAATCCCCAATAAGGTATAAATCAAAGGCTGCACATTAACTAGACTAACCTTAAAAAGACCAACTAGTAATCAATTGCACCCTGATTACCACAGACCATCTGAGCATTATTTCACTAACCTCGGTTATAATTCTTGTCAAAATATTTTCAAAAGGAGCTGGGGGTGAGGTGGAGGCTGGATTTGTACATAAACTAAGGATAGATTGTTGAGTATGTTTATAATTTACATAGATCACATTACAACAAAAATTATCTTTCAATCAAGGATTGGGAAATGAGTAAGAGGGAGCGTAGTTGAAATGAGCAAGAAAAGTAAATGTGAAATGTCCTTCCCCCTGACCCAACCCAATCTGAGTTTTTGCGTTGTAAGTCTCATCCCCTGAGCAGTTGGAGTTCATAAAGTTTTGAAGCAGCTTCAAGATCTCTGTGCTACAGAGAGCCAACTGCTTCATGATCCTCAGTCTTTTTAATTGTCTGTTTGGAGACGTCCCTAGTTTTGCAATTCAACTGTGGCTTCTCCTCACAACTTAAATGTTAGAGGCTTTCATCTTCTCATTACTTTTCAAATCTTTCTTGCATTTGGAAAATGGAAGATAGAAGAGGGTGGAGTTTGTTTGAGCTCCTCCCTCTTTCAAGCCTTTTACTGAGGGAATGGCTTTGCGGAAAAGAAAGAAAAGGCTGTGAACAGATCTGAGCCTATCACAAACAAGAATTCTTCAGCCTCCTTGGTTGCAAAGAAAAAGTCATCTTCCAATTTTCTTTTTTTTCTTTTTTTCTCTTTTTTTCTCTTAAAACATTAGCTTGCTGAACTTAATACTGAAATCTTTCTTGCTGGCCACAGTCACAGTTTTATCCATACTCTCCCAAAGACACTTTGTATATAGGGAGTCTGTACATGTCAGGAGAAGATTCAGATATTATGAAAAAGGCCAGATGACACTCGGAATTCTCTCACATTTTTCTGGCTATCAAACTTTGTAGTAGATGTTTGCAGGGCTCTGTGGAGGCATCTCCTGAACAATATACACTGGATGGCCATAGTCACCGCTAACTTTTTCATAGTGAGGACAATAATTGTTATCATTAGTCCTCAGCGGGATTATGATGTCACTGGGCTCCGAGCCACTATTTCCGCTACACTTTGGGCTTGCCAGTGTGTTGAGGGAAAGGACTGCTGATCTCTGCTGGGGACTCTTCCTATGTCGCTTTCTGAACTTTATCAAGAGGACCACAAGGAAGATGATGATGAGGATAAAGATGATGCAGCCTGCTCCAATTGCAGCAAAGAGTGCCATTTTTGAGCCAAAGATTCCCTCATTCTTGTTCAGCTTGTCTTTAATCTGACTGTCAGTAGCTGTTGAAAGAGAACAGGGGAATAAGTGAGTTTTCTGATACTGAACAATATTTTAGCTCAACTCAAAAGCTTAGAACAGATTAACTACCATAACATCAACAAAAAAAAAATTGACTTAACTGTCCATTTGGTTTGGACCTCTTACAGAGATGGTGGCTTCGTAAGCACAAAGTTACTGGGTTAAAAATCGAAAGAAATACAAAGTTACAGGGTTCACTGCTGAACCATTTTGACAAGAAGGAACTTCCATCCTTTTTAAACTTCTTTTTTCTGTTTCCTGGATTTCCTCCACAACCCATGACTGGTAGAATGTCATGGGTTGGTCACTCAGAATCAGGTTAGAATGTTGCCTTTATGACACCAGTAGGCCCAACATGATTTTCCAACCTTGCCAGGAGAATGTAGCTGGCTTAGACCTGTTCAGAGCTCCAGTTTTGCAACACTGTGCACAATACAACCACTCCGCTCATTGGACATTTATTAGATGGCACCTATTTGAAGATGCCCCAAAAAGCAAGTAAAAACCCAAAGTATTAGACTGGTAAAATTATTCTAATCACAGCTGAGTCAGTCAGAAGTTAGGACAAAAGATTAAATGTTGCCACTTAACTGCTGTGATGGAGGTACAGTTACACATAAGCCACTTCCTAAGGTTGAGGGGATGACAAGGAAAGTTGCTCTACTACCCATACTGACCAAGCAGTAGCCAAGCAGAGACAGAATTTTTTTCCTTTATTCTTTCATAGGATGTGGGTGTCATTGACAAGACCAGCAGTTATTGTCCATCCCTCAATGTCCTTGTGTAGCTTCCTAGGCCAATTCAAATATAGAGACATCCACATTGCTGTGAATCTGGAGTCACATGTAGGTCAGACAAGGTAGGAATGGCAGATTTCTTTCTTAGTGAACCAGTTAGGCTTTCATAATGATTGACAATAGTTCCATGATCACAATTACTGAGATTAGCTTTCAGTTCCAGATTTATTAATTAAAAAGTTACATTCCATCAGCTGCCCAGGTGGGATATGAGCTTGCTCCTGCAAAGCATGAGCCTCTGGATTACCACCTCAGTGACATTACCACAACACCACCATATTGGGTTTATGGCATTAAATTGCATCACACAAAAATGAACCTGAAGAATGATTTATCGAGCTTCAGCAGCAAAAATCTGAATCTATCTATTGTACAATCAGAGAGGCTATGGCACACACAACAAAGCTTAATTTGGCAGCAAAAAAAGTCAGTTGCAGTACAAGACAGAAAAAAAACAAAATTATATCCAAAAAAAACTTGTGATTAGCGGCAACTCTATATTAGCTCAATGTGAGACAGAAAGTCTGAGAAAAAGAGGGAGACACAGCAGGTATGAGACAAATAACACACAGACAATACTGATAATTAAGATCTTAATTAACTTAATTTGTCTGAAATATTTCTCCTTTAGATTCTGTTATTACCATTGAAATGTTCAATATCAAGTAAGCAGGGTGCCACAGCATCAATACCTGGAACACTCAGTTGGTAAGGGAGTTTTCAATCCACTGCATTTCCCTCTCAATCAGATCCCAAGGGATAAAACTCTGTGTCAATATCGAAACTAGTCTGACTCAGTCTAAGTCTGACATTTTCACACAACTATTCTATTACCTTGAATCCAAGTAAAAGGGATCAATCCCAAGTTTAAATCGACCGTGACATGAAAATGGTTTGATAAAGTCTCAGAGCAGCACTAATGCTCAATTTATGTCGAGCTAAGTAATCTCAGCTGGGTTGCAATTAGAATTATACACTTGGTGTTAATGTTCTTGGGTGAGAGACAGGTTTAAGCAACCTAAAATCAACCTGCAATATAACTCCTGACCACTTTTGTGGAACTCTTAATGAAATGTACTGGTGATCTGTGGGTTGGGGTAAGAATCAGTGTTGGCTGTGAGATTCCTGCCACATTTTAAAGATCCTGAAAACACTTTCTCTCGAGGCTCGCACACCAAGAACAGTGATTATCGATAAGAACGCATGAGGATGATGGCCATGATCTTGATGATGCACATGATACTCTTGACCAGCCCCACCATTTGCTTTGGGGATGGCTGAGTTTTCAGTCACTTTGGGGCAGATTTTTGTTCTATGGGTTGAATGTTAAGAATTACCTACTTGCTGCATGGAGGGGACCGCATGTGCCTAACGTAAACTCACTGACTTTTGTACTATTCAATTTGACAGAAAGAATAACTAGCAGATTCTGTAAGTGACAGCATTTCCCATCAGATTTTATTTTCTGCACTCAGCCTAGGTTTTGCTTAATCTCGTGGTGATAAATATAAACATTTATGCCCTGGTACCTACTCTCTGGAATGCCTTTCTCAATTTTTTTTGCCTCTCCACATCCTACAAAAATTTTCCAAGCCCATCTTTTCGACCAAGTTTTCAGTTATCTGGTCAAACTTCCACCGTATAGCTCCAGTAACAGTTTTGAATTTGTTTCCCGTCATTGTAAAATCACCTTGGGACATTTTTCCATATTCAAGGCACTTTTATAATGCATGTTATTATTGTTGTCATTGTGCTGAAGGAGCTACCACTTCAGCTTTTCTAAAACATCTTTCGCTTTTCTTTGGATTGAAATGTCAGTCTGACTCAGTTAGTGCATTGTCACTGCCAAGGCAGGTTGAAACTCCATGTGAGGAATTGAGCACAAACTAAGCTGACACATCAGTGAAGTACCAAGGGAGTCTTGCACCATGTCAGAGATGTCGGCTTTTAGATGAGACAATAAACTGAAGTCTCATCTGCCAGCCAAGGTAAGACAAAAAACTATGGTATTATTTGGAAATTTTCCCAATGCTCTGACCAACATTTATTAGTCAACGAATATCAACAAAAAAATTAACTGATTGTTCATCTTAATAACAAGGAATCCTGGCCACTGCTGGGAATGCATCAAGAAAGGGGATGATCACTGCAGGTGAATAAGGAGATAAGCTGTGTGGGTTTTGGTGAAGACTGTTCAGGAGGTTTCAGCAAGGGGGACATGGCTGGGGATTGCAGCCGTGTTCCATAAGCCATAGTGGGATGTGAAACTCAAGGCAGGGGTCCTTCTATAAACACAAGGGATCTTGGAGGGCAGATACCCTCCCAAGCAGTGGAACCTGGCAGGCTTCAAACATGGTGTCAGCTTCTGCCTACTGTGGCAGGAGTGGGAAGAGGTCCTAAAGTGGCCATTAATTGGTCAAAAATTGAGGCAGAGTCAGAGGTGGCCAGGCGGTTAAGGGCCAGGAATGGTACCCACGGTAATATGCCAGTTATATGGCCCTGCCCACTTGCTCCCTGGGTATTGTAAAACTAGATAATAAAGCTACCAAGTAATATGTGGATAGTGTGGGAAAGTAGCACTGAGGTAGATAATCAGCTGTGGTCTGGTTGAATGTCAGAGCAAGCTTGAGGGGCTGAATAGCAGAGTCCTGCTCCTATGTTCCTATACTCTGCCTATAACTCAGAATCAGAAGAAAGAAAATTAATATACATCCAGAGACATTTAATAAATGAAACATTGACTGCCCAAGGAGATTACTGTTGTCTAGCTTAATTCACTGTCCATGAGAGAGTGAAAGCCCATGCTCTGACTTCAGACATTGGGGATGGAGACAGATCCGGCTAAGATCAATGGATTCACAAACCTTTTTGAGAAGGAACAGAAAAGTGCCATTTACCTTTTACAATTATTGCTTTTTAGATTCTCATCACAACTGGGATTTGAGACACTTTCTGTTTGTTGTCTCAGAGTACAATTCCTACCAACATCCCAGCTTGGGTACAGTGCAGGCAAATCACAGAATGAAACGCCCCCCCACAGCCCTGACTTCAAAAGAATACTCCCTGCATCTGTATGTCAGATCTCCCCATTTCTTGCATCATCCCGATTGAAAGAAACTGGCAATTTAGCTTTGACTTATGATGAAATAGGACCAACAGTTTTCTTAGGCTTGTACCTACCAGGAACTGGATTGAATGCCTAGGTTGATTTAAGTGGAATCAATCATGCCAGAGGAGGAGATATTCAGGCCAATTTTCTTGATTCTATTAACTGTACCCATAGGAAATGCACGCCAAAACTTTTGTACTTTTGATTTGTACCAAATACCACTTAGACCGTTTAAATTTATGGTTGCAAAGATGGGCACAACTCATAACAGACTCTCTTCCAGGTGCACAAAGTCAGAAGATTACTGTTTTTTCATCCTGAGTTGCAAATAAACCCAGGATCCACAGGTAAAAGTCCATTGTATTTACCAGTCTCTGGAGTCATCTTAACATCTTTACCTTCAGGAAGTAGAATTATGGAAAGACACCCTACAAGTTCTATCTTCCTCACCTGTGTTCCCAGTTTTATCTTCTGAAGATGGCTCCTTCCAGAGGGAGATAACGCTCTTCACTGTGTTATCCTGGCCTTTACCTGGTGCTCTTGTAGGATTCTTTTCTTTCAGTGTTGGCCTTGTGTTTGGATCTGGATGGAAGGGAGATGGAAATTACTGACTGCACCAGTTGTCTGGCACTCCATTGTCAGAATCAGTGTAGTGCTGTTGGTTAACATCAAGATATCAAACATAAACACTGAGGCAGCAGTCACATAGCAACAATGCTGAACTGCACAGCAGTGAGATTTAGATTCTGGCAATGCCAACACAGAGCAAGGGTTAGGAAATTTGAAAGGAATGTCTGATGATCGTCACGGGACCCCATGTTCACACCCTTTTAAATTGGTCAAGCAGTTGTCTGATTGCATGAAAGAGTGAAACAGGGGCAAGGATTTTGCCAAAATTAGAGAAAGGTGATGTAAAAGCACTAATTTGGGATTTGGTGATGAACAAGACTTCCATCTTGAGGGCCTGGCTTCCAAACTAGCCAGACCGCAGGCATGTATTAGTAATCTATAAAGTTTGTAACTTAACCAGTGCATTCTAATGTGGACACTTTCACTGCATAATTCAGTAAAAACAATCTAACTTTCCTAATCTGAAAACATTTCTCAATCTCAGGAACTACCCTGAAATTCACAGCCTTCTTGCCTACTCTCCACAGTAAGTAGACCAATTAAAGTTCTAACTGAGAAGTCTGGACTATTTTCAGGGCTAGTCTATGTCTCAAAAGCACGTAAAGCTCACTGTTGAGGGATGTAAAATTCCAGATGGTCCAACGCTGAGCTGAATATAAGTTTGGTCTTTGAAAGCTGGGGAGGGTAATCGCAGGGACGGTGGGAATAGGCTTGTCACCAGATGAATGTGGCACCAAGATGAACATGAATTCCCTCAATATCAAAAGCAGCTTTTGACTGAGTACAGTAAAAATAAGAACTAACAAAACTGAGGCTAATAGGAAACCCACAATGATAGGGGTCATAACTGACCCAAAACAAAATGCAGAATCCCATCTGCATTGTAATCATCCAGCCCAAAGACCTTAGTGGATGGGTTTCTCAGTATGATGTCCTTCACCTAACCATCTTCAACTGTTTTATCATTAACATTCTCTTCGCCATAAGGCGAGGAGGGGGCTGTTCATTGTCTATCCAAAGTGTTCATCTCCGTAATGATTGAAGAATCCCTCGCCAGCCAACAATATCCAGCTTAGCCTGACTAGTGCAACATTTGTACTACTCAAGTGCCAGGTAATGATCATCACTAGTAATATCCAACCACCTCTTCCAAATTTTCAGCTGCATTTTTGAATCCTTGTATCACAATCTAGGGTTAGCAACTGACTGGAGGCTCAACTCCAACTGTTACGTCAACGCTATGACTCCAGAAAGGGCAGAGTTAGGGTACTCTCTGATGAGTGGTTCACCTCCTGACTCCTCAAAATTTCTCCATCATTTACTTGGTTCAAATCCAGACATTAATGGACACCAGGCAGCTGGTTGGCAATAGCTGTGACAGCGTTCAAGGAGCCCAATATCATCCAGTTCAATGAATAAAAGCAAAATGCTGTAGATGCTGGAAATCTGAAATAAAAGCAGAAAGTGCAGGAGAAACTCAGCAGGTCTGACAGCATCTGGGTGCAAAGAAAAACTGAGTTAAAAGTTTCAAGCCTGGTATGAGTCTTCTTCAGAACTGGAAGGAGCTGGAAAACGATGGTTTTTATGCTAGTGACAGAGGTGGACGGAGGAGCAGTGGCGATTAGTGTGCCCATAGCAAAAGAGAAAGGCAGTGATAATAGCAGTAAAGGAATGATAGATATATAAAACAGGTGTAAATGTTAGCTGTAAAAAGGAGAAAATCAGTCCACTTTGCTAAGTGCAAAGCCAACAAGACACAGCCAGAGAAGAATGGGGGGAGGTGGTGGTGGTGATGGGATGGGGGGAGCGGGGAGAATTGTAAGAAAAAATGGAAGACAGATGGCATGCTTTGAAACTCAGGAACTCAATATTGAGTACGAAAGGCTGTAAAGAGCCCAAGTGGAAAATTAGGTGTTGTGCCTCTAGCTTGCATTGAGCTACATTGTAACGGTGTTGTAACACTCTACCGCCCCAGTTTTCACATTTAAAGGATTATCCTCTGCCATTTCTACCTCCTCCAACAGAATGACATCACTAAGTATAGGTGGTTGATGGTTTGGTGCTCAGGGGTGGGGTCATGATCAAGGGGGCGGTAGGAGGAGGTGTCGGAGAGTTGGCGTCCGGCCTCGGCGATGTAGAGGTCAGTGCGCCATACTACAACTGCACCTCCCTTGTCCGCGGGTTTTATGGTGAGGTTGGGATTGGAGCGGAGGGAGCCTCCAGTGGTATACTGCATCCGCTGTACCCGGTGTGGCTTCCTCTACATCGGGGAAACCAAGCAGAGACTCGGGGACCGCTTTGCAGAACACTTACGCTCGGTTCGCAACAAACAACTGCACCTCCCAGTCGCGAACCATTTCAACTCCCCCTCCCATTCCTCAGACGACATGTCCATCCTGGGCCTCCTGCAGTGCCACAACGATGCCACCCGAAGGTTGCAGGAACAGCAACTCATATTCCGCTTGGGAACCCTGCAGCCCAATGGTATCAATGTGGATTTCACAAGTTTCAAAATCTCCCCTCCCCCCACCGCATCCCAAAACCAGTCCAACTCGTCCCTGCCTCCCTAACCTGTTCTTCCTCCCACCTATCCCCTCCTCCCACCTCAAGCCGCACCTCCATCTCCTACCGACCAACCTCATCCCGCCCCCTTGACCTGTCCGTCCTCCCTGGACTGACCTATCCCCTTCCTAACTCCCTACCTACACTCACCTTTCCTGGCCCCATCCCCGCCTCTTCGACCTGTTTGTTTCCTCTCCACCTATCCTCTCCTCTATCCCTCTTCTATCCGCCTCCCACTCTCTCCCTATTTATTTCAAAACCCCCTTCCCCTCCCCCTTTTCTGATGAAGGGTCTAGGCCCGAAACGTCAGCCTCTCTGCTCCTATGATGCTGCTTGGCCTGCTGTGTTCATCCAGCCCTGCACCTTGTTGTCTCGGATTCTCCAGCATCTGCAGTTCCTACTATCTCTACTTGGAATTCCAGTTGCTTGTCATTTCAGTGACTCACCTTGCTCCCACACTAACATTCCCATTCTTGGTCTGTGAGTGTTCCAATACTTTCTGATTTTATCAATTGGTATAAATTAGTTTTCTTGCTTGATTGTCATCAATTTCAAGGGACTCAATATCTATCCATGTAACTGCCAGTGCCTATGCATATATTATTTGTCGGATGCAGCAATTCACTGGGTTGATTTCAACAGCATTTCCTAACCACATTGGGAGCAGCAGGTACAGTAGACCTCTACATCGGTGAGACCAAGCGTAGATTTGGGGACTGTTTTGTAGAGCACCTGTGCTCTGTATGCAACAAACGGCAACACCTTCCAGTCACAAACCATTTCAACTCCCCCTCCCATTCCCTGGGTGACATGTCCATCCTGGGCCTCCTCCAGTGTCACAATGACACCACATGCAAACTGGAGGAGCAGCACCTCATAATCTGCCTTGGGAGCCTACAGCCCAATGGCCTAAGCATGGATTTCACCAGCTTTAAAATCTCCCCACCCCTGACCTCATCCCACGACCAACCCTCCCCCTCATCCCCGCCTCCTTGACTTGACACAACCTGTCCATCTTCTCTCCCACCTATCCACCGCTCCCACCTCACTGACCAATCCCCACCACTCCCTACTTGCACTCACATATCACCATCCCACCTACCTTCCCCAGCCCCACCCCTCCTCTCTCTATTTCTGAGCTCCCTTCCCCGTCCCGCATTTCTGAAGAAGGGTCCCGACCCAAAATGTCAACTTTCCTGCCCCTCTAATGCTGCCTGACCTGCTGTGCTCCTCCAGCTCCACACTGTGTTATCTCTGACTCCAGCACCTGCAGTTCTTGCTATCCCTACTTGTGTGTGTGTTCTCTTCATGTAATTAGAATGGATTTTCAACATTCAGGGTGATAATCCAGTAATAACTAGAGTCTTCTTTACTTGCTTTCAAAAATTCACTTCCCCATTATCACGCCCACCCTCAAACTTAAATTAAGGAGGAAGAGAAAGGAACACAGGGTCATAATGGGTGTGTTACAATTAGCTACGATACCCTTAGGTTAATTATGAAAAATTTGGGCAGGGTTCCAGATTCTGTAATTGGTATCCAATAATCCCTGCTAGAAAATGAATGGAGGTTTCAGTGAAGTGCTAGACAGTCGCTTGTAGCCATGGAACTACATCGCAACAAGGGGCACTGCCTTCAGAGAAGTGAATCCAAAATGTGTTCGCAAATCATTCCCCAAGGGCACTGAGAAGCCACTTCAATTTGCATTCTCATTTATTCTGTCTTTGTACCTGAATATCATCAGCATTTCACTCTCAGAAATAATGTGAATATTGGCATAGCAAGGTCACAAGCTGAAATCATACGAAGTTCTCTCTGGGACTGGCACATTGTGGGAACAATTAAAGTGGGCATCTGGCAGGCAATACAAAATCAACTATTTTGATGCAGAATATATTTGTGAGATCGCACTTTAAAAGGTAGGCACACAGAATAAATGCATAGCACAGCAATATGCAGATGTGTGGACAAATTCACAGTTGCAGACAGGGAGACAGAAATATGCCAATATCGTATCATAGAAAGATGAAAAAGACAGAGGCGGACAGGCAGATATACAAAGACATCTGTACATCTACACATATGGATAGACAATGTGTGTTGGACTGCTCAGGCAGAAGAAAAAAAAACAGTTGCATCTAGACACTTGAGACAAAAAAGTCGAACAAATAAAGACATTGTACGCAGCATAAACTGGACATCAGAAATTAGATACACACATACAGATGTGTCATCAGAATCTGTAGTAACACTAAAGCACAGATCCAACAATTATTCTGTACAATTCTGGGTAGAGAATAATATTATGTTTTTGGCAACTCTGAGATTCTGTACAAAATAAAACTCAATGTTCAGCTTTAGGATTCTGCCCAAACTATGCCATGTGGATGGGATGACACTGTAGATATTAGGAAGGGCCAAAAGAAAGGCTCAGGAATTCTTTGTTCAGCAACCATTCTCTGGTATACCAACTCTTCAGTTTACAGAGGCAGTTCCCAGTGTACCAAAGGCAAAATGGATACCACAGTTTGGGACCTAGCAGCTGTGAGTTGATCTGTTATAGTAAAAGCATGCAGCTGTGATTTCAGTAATGCAATTGTAGAATATATCACAATGTTAGGATAGTAGTTCACTGCTTACCTTGTCCAACTTTCATAATTATCTTCATGGATCGAGTTCTGCATACTCCACCATTTCTGTTCTCCAACCCTTCGAATGAGCCATTGGAAGTAGCTGCAAGGAAGGAAAAGCTCAGCATTATTGTCAAATTCTGAGATCAAAACTAACTGAAACAGGAGATGAAAGAGAATAACCTTGAAAGTGCTTTTCATATAGTGAATTACTCTGAAATGTATTAAAATGTCATGTGGGCAAGCAACTGTCATTTGGCAGCAACTTTATGCAAACCACAATGAGATAAATGAGGAGTTGATCCATTTTTTGGAGGTACTGGTTGAGACAGCAACATTGGGTATACCTTCTTTAGAAAAAATAATTAACTAATAGGTGAAGGGCTCCTCAGAAATTGTGTTTACTCATCTTCGTGTCTTCTTCATTCATGATATTTAAACACCGCATGTCCAAAATTTCACATATAACTTCTGATTTCATTCCAGACAGAATTCATCAAATACATATGCTTCATAAACAACAATAACAAACCACAAGCAAGACTGGCAATTGATATTTTTTGTCAGTTCCTTTTTCACCCAATTTGCACAAAAATCTGATGTTGGCATCACGCAAACACTGTTTCTTGATTTGCAACCTCACATTTTTCAATATTGGTGCCCTGTTTTGTGGACTTTGGCTTGTTTCGCAATGTGGTCTGTTTTTTTTTGCCTCAGTGCAGGAGGCATTTTTCATGTCAATAAGTCATTGTTTCCAACTGTCAGTGATAGAATTGTGTACAATCTGGAGTATGGTTAAGATGGGTTTCATCTTTAAGCACTGAAGGGGTTGATGAGGGGCAAATTGAGTGAATAAAGCAAAAACTGTAAGCTTGGTGAGAGCTGAGAGAACTGAAAGGTAGTGCATGAGCATGTATGTGCAAAAATCCATGATTGAAGTGCTGTTAAATTTGCAAACCTGCATCACTGCCATCAGCTTCTATTAAATTCTGTTCTAAATACATAAACGTGTTTGGAGTTCTAATTAGAAGTTGAAGAGCTTTGTGTCTGCTGGGGTATTTTTGAGGGTGTGCAGGCATAGTAGTTTCTGAAACTGGCACATTGGACCTTGCCAAATGACCTTATAATTTACAAAGCAATAAGGAAAAATTACCATCTCCTGAAATCGAGGAGTAAGAAAGACTTATTTTATCACCAAAACTACATTGTTAGTTATTTTCTGGTTGTTTCAGGAATGCATGAATCATTAAATCTGTTTAGTCTAACATTTTTCACATTTAATATGAATACAAAATCTTTCTACACCTTCTCCACCCCAACCATTATATAAAAGGATAAACTTCTATCCAAATTTCAATACCATATTTTGTAAGAACGGTGAGCAGTTGGTTAAGTTATTAAACTTAGCATACTGAGTAGTATTCATAAGATACTGCATTTAATTTTAATGAACGTAGCTACATGTGGTTTGCTGGTAGAGTGGGATAAGTGGAGGATGATAGAGGGTAGCGAACCTACCCCATTAATAGGTCACTTTGTGCTACTTCAGGCAAACGGAACAGATGATTTTTTAAATTGGTAAATGTGTGTAAGGTTAAGACTGATAAAGATATTTCAACTTGCAGTAGATGTGGTCATTGATTCAGAATGATGGGAACCAGGGAGGATTTGGAACCTAATCCTATTCTTTCAACAGAATGTCAGCCTCTGGCATCAGAATCTGATAAGAGTTTAGAAGGGAAAAATTAAATCAGTGACAGGAGTTAGGGGAAAGCCTGTGAGGGTTGATGGATGGTTTGGTGAGCCTAATTTTATACAGGGAATCAGACGCACTTGGGCTGATATATTGCAGTTGTTACAAATGGCAATTGTCACTGGTAGCCATCGCTCAATCAGATAGAAATACCTTAATTGGATAAGAACAGTGCTATATTAAACAACAGTGGGAGAACGTCTCCCAATAGTTAGCTGAAAGAGATATCACTCTGGAAATAAATAAGTGGAGAAGAGTGATAGCTGAGTAACTTTTCAAATAACCTTATCATCAGAAAGGGAACTCTGCTAGTGGCTCCCAGACAGCCAAGGTTTCGCCAAATTATTAAGACAAATGTTCTTGCATACTACTATAGATAATACTAATTAATCCACAGGAAACCCTGGCTAGAAAGCAATGGCTCAAGGGCTTATTAACTATATTTGTATATCCCTGGTAGCATAGTTGAAAAGTTTGTCACCATCCCCTGCTGGTATATCAAGTATCAGTAACTCAGGAAAGGTCTACCATGAAATACCAAATTGCACTGAGCTTTGTGATTTTTGACAAGAAGAGGTATTATAGCCCCACAGAGTGTATTGCAGATTTGGGATGCCTGACATGGAAATATTTTGAGAAACGTTGATATCTCCAACAAGGGGCAGGCATCTGAAATGTCTTGGCTGTAGTGTATGCAATTGCGTAATCTCCTGCTTTACAATACTATGCCTCAACAGAAAATCTTCAAAGGGTGAATTATAGCTAGAAATGCTACCAATTAGAAAGGCTAGCTTCAAGAAATGTCCACAATACAAGAATCAACACAAAATGACAACTACTGATCAGAAAGAGAGGAAACAATTCAAATTCGTTTACCACCTTCAAAGTAAAAGATAGCTGACCAGACTGGGGTCAACGGATGATTACCTAAGACTAGGTTAAATACAAACTCCTCCATATGAAAAATACGCTCAACAGAACACAATTTAAACTTTTGATATGAAATGGTTTTGTTTGCTTGACAGAATCATTAGGTAGATGTATTATTTTATTATTAAATGCATTATTTACTGATGGTATGTCAGAAATTAAGGTGGAAGTGAATTGTGGGAAGATGGAATTTTGGGTCACCCTGCTGTAATAATTCAGGAAATCCAACTGGACGGTCACGTCATTTACTGTTGAACACCAAGATAGAGCAACTACATATGGTGTACATAGACTAGTCCCAGCCCAGGACAAAAAGTTCTGCAAATCCGTTCCTGGGTCTGCTTTATCGATATTTTCTAATCAACCTGTTCAGGGATGTTATGACCTTTGCAGCAGGTGCAACATAAACCCGGACCACCTGGTTCAGAGGTAGGGAGACTACCACTGTGCCACAAGAACCCCTTGGCCTGCTTTCTTTAAAAAAAATAAGATTTAAGTTTCACCATTTACTTTGGTGGGATTTGAACCGATGTCCCCAAAGCATCAGACTGGGGTTCTGGAATGCTCACTCAGTGACATTATCCCTGCACCAGTACCTCCCCGAGGTATACTTTATCTTATTTTCTAACTAAACTGTTCAGTGATGTTATGACACACCTATAAAACAGGCAGGACTTGAACTCAGTCCTCTTGCACCAGACTAGGGGCACTACCACTGTCTACACAGGAGCCTCTGCATCGGCTTTATTTTTATTTATATTCAGAAGTGTTATAGAATAAACTATCCTTTATAGAGTAGAACATCATTTATTGTCACATGTACTCATGTATAGACATCAGGAGTACAGTGAAAAGTTTCACACTGTCACCTCTTATGTTGCCATCTTAGGTACAAAGTACCGAGGTGCAAATCTTAAATACAAAAACAGGAATACAAAAGAAAAGTAGCTGCATTATTTTACAGAAAAAAAAGACATAGTTAAAGGGATAGTCATTACAGTCACATGAACAAATTATACATAAACAATACATTGCAGTAGGTGAGCGCACAGGCTTCCCCATGTGGTCTGACTGCCTGTGCCAGACTCCAGTCTAATAACTGTGCCCGCTACAGTGCAAGCCTCCAGTCCGCTCTGTACTGTCTCTCAGCTCCTCCAAGTTAAGTTTTTCTCCGGGACTGCTTCCCCTCCCTGACCTCCACTCCCAGACTGCTTCCACTCCCTGACCTCCGCTCC